AAGATAAAAAGCCTATGTGACATATGCTAATACACACAGCGCCATCTATACCAATAATTTCGTTTTCTCTCGAGAATAAGAAAGTACTCTATTATTTAATCCACACTTCTAACTTTATGTTCTACAAAAAATCAAAGCAATCGGTTTAGTAGTTATGGTGTTAAAGCAGAACAAACAAACAAACAAACTCACTTTCTAACAGACTCGGGGAAAATGTGAAAATTTGTAATATTTTTTATCCGTGACTTCGCACACTTTAAAATTCGGAATACGAATTGAAAGTTTCAATTCGAATATAGGCCTACAAATATAAAAATTCGAATAATTTCAGTCTGTTTGTTACTCCTTCATGTTAAAACGGGTGAAGGCATCGAGATGAGGAACAGGGGTAGATTAGTACATGAAGAACACGGGCGAAACCGCTGGCTGAAGCTAGTACATACATATTTAAATGTAAACCTTTATTTTGAATCACTCTATCTTTTAAATAAACCGCATTAAATTCGGTAATGTAAACGTAAGGTAGGTAATTTAATTTCAGTGCCTTTAGGCGTATTTGCCATACCTATTATTGGAGCAAGTTTATCAGCTCACACATAGGATCCAAAGTCAAATTTTCCGTGGTGCTTGGGCTTCTCCCAGTCGTGCAGCTTCTTTTGTGAAAAAATTGAAAAATTAACTGACTATTGAAAAATCGGACCTTAGAATTGAGTGGTATTTGAGTATTTCGACATTAGGTACTTACTTACTTAGTTATTTGTTCGTTTAGGTTATACGTGGTATTTATGTTTGTGATATATGTTTATGTAAAAATATAAATTATAACTTAAGTTTGGTTAAGAAATAGGCGAATAATAAATGTACTTAATTTATTGTAGATTAAAATATTATAAGAGGGGTTGATCTGTGACTGTGATTAATTTTAAGAAAACCGAGATTATCTAAATAGTATTGTATCGTATTCCTATTTACCACAAACATGAGGTTGACAATAGTTTAATAGTGCATGACATTTGCTAAGAACGAACGAATGTGATTTTTGAGATTATAAAATAAGTCTTCCTATTAGGGATGACATGTCTTATCTATTATTTATTTAAATTAATAAATTGTTTAGAACGTGTGAATTTTCTCTTTTATTTTATAGTCTGCCTGAGTGACTGGGTGGCTTGGCTGAAACGACAGACCCTTTATGAAGTTCAAAAAAGTAATTCGAATTTTAAAAACAGTCGTGTTATTTGTGCCTCTAATAATAATTTTAAAGGTTTGTATATGTAAATATATACAACACACTAAGTGCGGGAGAGCCATGCTTCGGCACGAATGCGCTGGGTTGACCGGAGTGATATCACGGCCTCACAGAAAACCGACGTGAAACAACGTTTACGTTGTGTTTCGTCGTGTGAGTGAGGTTTCCAGAGGCCCAATTACTCCCTTTCCAAATCTCCCCAATCCTTATCCCCAACAATCTTCAAATTCCTAATCCCCAAAAGTGCCGGTAACGCCTCAGGTGTTTCGGGTGTCCATTGGCGGCGCTGATTGTTTACCATCAGGTGATCCGTCAGCTTGTTTACCGGCTTATCCCAAAGAAAATATGGTGAATTTGACAGGTCCGTAGCCTTATGAGTTAGGCAAATCGTTTGCTTTTATAAGTCACCAGGCGTTTGTAACCATTACTTATATTAACAGTTATTATGACTTACGCTTTGCCTAATAACTAAAACTTATTCGCAATGTACAGAATGAAGACATGAATATTTTTTAGAAAAAAATGGGCCCAATAATATGCCCTGAGATGCACCTCTTTTAATATTTGTTGATGACTGGTAAATAAGGTAGACATGATGGCTGGTAAATTGCGCCTACAGATTTTATATACTCTTCGTTGATTACATGTGAAATAATAAATCACGAAACGTAATTTTATCAGGCGCCAATTGCTTTCAATTGGTCATTAGCTAAGGATGAAACCAATAAATATTGTCCATTGTAGACATGCTATGATTAGTAGTATTTTTACTACAATGTATTAATTTTCTTTTATTTGATAGAAAATTGATGAGAACGAAATCCAAATTACAACAGGCAGATTTATTTGATCGGAAAACAAAGAAAACTTCAAGGCGCTATAATTAACTTTAATTAATTTACTTTACTTTTCTTTCTATTGATAGTTTTCAAACTGGGTTGGTTAACACGATAAATGCCTTAATACTCATCGGTGATGGATGACGTTAGGGTAGGATTTAGTTTGGCTTCAACAGTTTTCCATTGGCAGTCAAAAATCTAAATTTTTTTTTACATGTACACTTCTCATGGAGGTTCACATCTATGGTATACATGTAGAAATACATAAAATAGTTTTTATTGAAATTTGCTTTTTAGCTGCGTAAAAAAGTATGACGGCAACAAAGGCTTAATCTTGTGCAATGTTTAAAAATAAAAATACATTGATAAGCCCGATAGTTTCTTGTTTTGATCGTTTCTTATGAGCTGTGTGTATGAAATTAGGGCGGAACAAAATTGGTCAACTCGATCTAGGCATTGAATTCAGAGCAAAATATTTGGAAATGATGAAAACTGACAGGGGTCAGTTTGATTCATACTTCCAAGGAGATTATGCAAATCTATTAAGTTGACTAAAAATAATGAAAATACTATTGACATTAAAAAAGTACTTATTTTTATTGGTAAAGTTTCAAAAGTTTAATACAATACTTGCCATCGATAAAAACTAAAAGAACTATTATTGGCAATTTAACTTAAAACACTTGAATAAACAGTTGGGCTTAAAGTCTAAAGTCCAAGAATTTAAAACATATTCAGACTATTCCCTCAATGAGTAACAACATACAAAGATAAAATACCTAACTTAATAAAATCATGACACGAGTTCTAAAAGATAAGTAAATTGCTAAAAAAACGTTTATTTGATAAGACTTTATTATTAGTAGCTAATACAATTACGCAAGCAAAATTTAAAAGTATTCCAATAAATCCGAAAAAATACTAGATCGATGGGAAATTTCGAGAAAACCTTATCGTGATAATTACATTTGGGATGAGACTTCTAGTTTTTGAGAAAATCGAAGAAAACCCCAGGAACAAGGGGATTAAATCTACGATGGAAAGTGATTTGATGTATTACTTAAGTCGGCATTTTATTACTTTTATCTTGCTGTAGGTGTATACTGCATGGACGCAAAAATACGCGATGATTATGATTTATTCTAGGTCGTTGGAGTTTATCAGTTGACGTTTTCGTAATAAGAAAATTTTCTTCACAAACTTCACTTTCAAAGTATACCATTCGGTGCAAGGTTTTTGGTAAAGCTTATCGTGCAAAACTGCACTCAAGTGCATTTAATAGTTTAGGATTTATGGAAGAAAATGTGTTGGAACAAAATTGGGGATTATTTGATTGTGGCAAGATAATATAGCGTTATAAAGCAAACATTACTTGTAATCTTGATTCGTATCAGCACAGACAAGTTGTTGACTGCTGATAAAACGTTTCATTTAGATGATACATTGGAACCTTTACCGAGTTTACATTGTTTTCATTTTGTTGGGAACTATTTCCATTACACTGGTTAGCTATAAAATATATTTAGAGGATGCAATAATTTATAAAAAGAAAATGTAAGGGATTTTTTTTCTTTTTTATGGCATATGCCGTAAACGAGCAGACGGATCACCTGATGGTAAGCAATCGGCGTCGCCCATGGACACCTGACGTGTACTGCTGAACATTGGCTAGTTATTTGACGGTGAACTGTATTGATCATAATGGTAAGAACTCATACGACACCGATTGTCGATATATGTCATCGCATTATCAGATATATAGTATTTTACAATTAAGATATCAGGAAGTACTTTAAGTATGGGAGAGCCATGCTTCGGCACGAATGGGCCGGCTTGACCGGAGTGATACCACGGCCTCATAGAAAACCGACGTGAAGCAACGCTTGCGTTGTGTTTCGTCGTGTGAGTGAGGTTACCGGAGGCCCAATTACCCTCCCCTTCCCACATTTCCCCAATTCCTGAATCCCCAACAATCCTCAAACTCCTAATCCCCAAAAGGCCGGTAACGCACTTGTAACGCCTCTGGTGTTCCAGGTGTCCATGGGCGACGCCGATTGCTTACATCAGGTGATCCGTCTGCTCGTATACCGTCTATTGCCATAAAAAAAAGAATTTGGAGACTGAGATGATTTGTTCGTGACCTCACTAATAAACATTCATTTTATCCTGGACCTATGTGTGCCTGCATAATTTGTTTGTAGGTATGCATTCGGGATCTCCCCGCATCAATTGATGACTCTGTTATGGAGGCATTTGTATGTTTCCATTTGACAATGTTGTCCATTTGACAATAACTTCAACATTGGTGGGTATTTTGATTGAAAACCACTAATATACTGGAGATTATGGCATGCTGAGGAGTTTTTTAGTCTAGCCGAGGACTGCCACAGACTGATCATAGAAATGAACAGCAGTTAGGAACTGCAGAATAGTACAAAACGTTGGCTAGTACAAACAAAATTTTAATTTTGTTTGTCTACTGTCTCTTCTGGTTTTAGACGATGATGACATTTTCATTGATTTTTTTTTATGACAGTAATGAAACGTATTGTCGTTTTAATAGCATTCGGTCTACAAGATCGAATCAATCAAAAATGTTTGCCGTCGCCACTTGACACTGGCAGTATAGTCGACAACACCGTTTTAGAGACTCGGTTGCAAAGAAGAAAACAAAATCAATAATTAAGATGAACTACTCGGGATCAAAATGCAGATACTAACGATTTGCAGATTACAGATAATTTCAGCAAAAACGTTTTTGACTATCTCGGTACTTCTGAAATAATAATTGTTATCGTATCGTACGACAATGTGTATGTACAACAGCCAGACATAAATAGCAGATACTAGTCTGCCGAGCACAAGTCGCGCCACAACTTTGAAGTGTGGTACCGGGAACTAAAACTAACGATATGAAGTATCTCTCTATTATATTACTGCTTTCTTGCCTCGGATTTTCCGTGCAGGTAAGATTATTAAATATTTTTTTTTGTTATAATAAAAGAATTAAAATAGCGAAAATAAAATAAAATTAAAAATAGAAAAGAGCATGTTCTATTTTTTAAATCTAACGGCAAATGAATCTGATAATGACAAATCTAATCCAATGATTTGATTGGCTGACACAATGGGCGCGAAAATTTGAAATTGGCTGGAAGTCGGTACATCGCCGTGGTTCCAAGAATGCAAATTGTTGAATACGTGACAAAATCCTGTAATAGCATACATCATGATTTTGTCAAGTATTTCGCAATTTTTATTCTTACGACTTCTACGGTAAAGTCAGTAATATGACTGACTTGTGGGAAGACCTGGCTGAAGGGTAAGAGGGAATTACTTGGAGGCGGGGTTTTGTGTACACTACACACTATATCTGTGTTTGCCCTACTAATGGAGGACCTTTAATAATTACGTGTAACCTCAGTAAGGTAATTTTAAAATTGGAAATTATAATTATTTCATTTCCTTTTTGCTCATTACCTCAATCTACCAACGTTTTCATTTTTTCATCGATCATCCTGCAATACGTATATTGTTGCCTTTTGTCAAAACCTTATTGTTTTGATGCTTTACTTCTATCGTACTTAATTCGCTCGTTTATAATTATTTACTTTCAAAGATAAATAAAATGAATATTATGACGGTTAGCCTATGCTTACTTCATGTTACTATTAACATGAAGACAAGATTTTGTTGTTATGCAGCTAATAAAGTGAAAGTGTAACTGAAGTAGGTGCTCGAGTAATCAATTGAACAAATCCGTACGTCAATCATTGATATAAAACTCACATAACAAATATGTTTTTTTAATAATTATGGTCAAAGAAACGCTCGTTTTTTTTCTTTTCTTTTAAAAATTATTGATTCTTTTTGTGATTTTAAAATGGAGACACTGTCGAGTAGGTCGATTCTTGCTCGATATTGCGACCTTATAATGAAATTATTATTCTAAAGACCATAGTTATTTGAAATATTATTCGCTATTTGGTGTCGAAAATTGTGAAGTTTGTTTTTTGAGAAACATTTTGTTTTCGGTAAAATAAATTTGGGGTGCATGATGGCTACAATATCTTAATAGAACATGTTTAGGGATTCCCACGATTGCGCACGATTTCGTTATCGGATTCTACAGTTTTGCGCCCGGCGGGTGTTCGCACGGCACTCTTACTGCCACACCGTGGGTGGTAGTTTTAATGATAACTCTAGCTAATTGATAGCAAAATGTAGGTACTTCATTATGCTATTTTTGATATAAAGGAAAAAATATTTAACACATCAAACGCCTTGGGGGTCACCGGTGACCGGCGTAAGCGGAGGGTTTGCCTTCAACAGTTTTTTATTGGCAATTTTGCCTTCCAATAAACTTAAACTGCCTTTAAATTATATATATATAAATTTATAAATTATAGTCAATAAGTCAACTGGTGCTGGACCCACTCAGTTTTTAGTCAAATTTCCGTGGTGCTTGGCGACTGGGCTTCACCCAGTTGTACAGTCTCTTTATTGTGCCTTTAGGCTTAATTCATTCTGTCTCCTGCATTAATTCACCGAGGGAAGTGGAAAACATCGTTTTTTTCTTCTCCTCTTGTAATAAAATATCATCTGATTCACTTCGTTGTGGGAACCAAGACAGTTACTCATGTCCCTGGGACGCGACGGACTTCAGTGTTCCGGTGTTTTCATGGTTGTATCTACTTTAGATCCTGGCTTACAGGAGTTGCAGCAGTTTTGAGAGGTTGTAGCGCACTTGTCCCAAAAAAATAAGCCGAAAACAAAAAACAATGCGATTTTAAAATTTGTGAATTTTATGTTAATTGCAAAAATCTTATTAATTGAATTATAAATCAATTGAAGGTTGATTGCGTCGTTCACGTGTTGTGATGACTTGGAATGATATAGTAACTTGGAAAATTATATTTCGTATTTGGAAATTTAAATGAGAGAGAAGCATAAGCATTTACATGAAAGCAGCAGTGAAATGATTTACTTTTTAATAAGTACTGAAGCACGTGCATAGTTATCTACAATTTGTCAGTTTAATAGTGTAATATATTTTGATTATTTCTGTAAATGCATTTAAGTATGTACAATTAAGTACATTCTATTATCGTATCCATAGCTTTAGTTTCGATATTCGTTCAAGATGATATTGGATTCGTAAGAACACAACTCAGCATTTTTTTATAACAGTTCAACCTTCTCCTTTTTGTCTCTTTAGATTTTTAACTTTATAGTTTTGAATTAAAGTCGCAAAATCCATTGAAGATATCGAAAGTTTAAAAGTAATTCTTTGTCAGAGTCTGTGTTTCCTGAAGGAACCTGGAAGAAACCTGGAGGTCTTCAAGGCCCGAGTGAATAGCTTATGGGACAACGTGCTCTATAGTAGGCCGCATCATCGCTTACCACCAGGTATCAGACAAGACTATTGAACAAAATACTCGTAATTCTGGCTAGGCTAGAAACGGCCATTGGTATTTTTTTACGTTGGGCCTATTACAGGTCCATGGGGAATGCTTAAAAAAAATACAGGTCATTCATTATGGTACCATTTCAAAAAAATAAAAATAATTCTTTTGAATATTCGAATTTTGAAATAGTTAATAGATTTGTTGGCCGAGTGTCGGGCAAGGGGGCAAGTAATACCTGTTTTAAAAAAAAATCTGGTATAGCACGGAGTCTGGAATTGTGCCCGGTATATATAACAATAGGCTCACGCCCCATTACATAACTAGGAGCCATAACATAAATAGTGAAAATTGGGTGTTACATTGTACAGCGGTATCAAGTGCCGCAATGTGCACCTCTGACTGCCCCTTCAGTGCTAAAAATGAGTGATGTTATGTTATGTTATAAATAATTGTATGCTACAATGTAATAATAAAACTAACATACATTGTTACTTTACAATTACATGACATAAACATTTATCGATAGTAAAAAAATTACAATTACATTTATGTTTTTTTAATCTTCAAACGATCAGTCATTTCAAAGTACGGCATCGTTTTACTTATTTTGTCTTGTGACTTAAATATATAGTTTTTTTAAGGGGGGAAATTCATCCAATGTCTGCTTCCGCCTGGGTGAGGCGGGAGGGAGTGTCAGACTCTTACTGACTAAAAACCACCCCGTTCCTACTCCTGCCCTCCGAGCCGGAGCCCCGGCAACCCGTTAAGTCCTCCGCGGCTCCATATCGGCATCAGCCCTATTGGGCCCCAACCGTGGTGGTCTAATGGCTCTTTTAGGCGCGCGCGGAACGCGAACGCTTCGGTCTGGTTCTGGTCGGGCGGCGAGCTACCCATGCTCGGCGCTCGCCGTCCGCAGGCCCGAGCTCGTCCGCGATCATCGCCGTCCGTCCCGCGGATTTAAATTAATATAGTTGCGATTTAGTCACAGCAGACTGTATATATCTTCGTATCGTCTACATTGCAATTAGATTATAGTCAGGGGCAGGGGTATTACCCAACACGTGTCGATTGAGTACATAGTAACTACATAATGAAACACAAACTGTACTCACTGTGCTGTAGTTGTGTAGGTCATTGACCTTTTGAACAACTGACCGCTGAATCGATGCTAATCTTAATGCATATAGTACTGTCTCTTTCTCTCGTCTCTCAAACACTATCAGCTAGATGCGCCATCATTAGTTTAGTGAGGGTAGATGACTAATTTTTATTTTAATGTCCGTCTGGTAGATTATTTAAAAATATTAGACACGTATTTTTTATTTTCTTACGGAAACGAATAGTTTCGAATATACATATATTGATTTGAAATATCGCATGACGTCACTTTTGAGTACGATTTATACTCTATAGTGACGTAGCTACTTCCCACTCCTAAACTTTGATTCGTTTTATCTAAGTATTGTTTTCTTATACGACACAATAAGAAAATACGTGTGTACTATTTTTTCATTACCTAACTGCCTGACTAATTAGATTTTTAATTTTCATACCCTGTCATCATTCTTATTGTCTCTTTCTTACACTCGAAGGGAAGGGGGATGTACATATTTTCATTGACTCGTGTCGTTTCCACGAACTCATCATAATATTGCGTAGTTGCATGGACGTAAGCGAGCCAACTTTAAAATAAATGCTTGCATACGCTATTATATTGTTTTGCGTTATCAATTTGTTATTAGAAACGGCGTTTGTGTATTGTTTTAATTGAAAGCTTGTTATGATTTGTATAGCTATTATTTTTACTATAGGTTCTAAACGTATTAGACATTTCTCTGGTAGCTACAACATGAATGCATCTTTTATTGTTCCCATTTAAAGGCATATCGTAGCTGTAAAGAGACTTGGGAATACGGAAGCATCAGCAACCCACTTAACAAAAAACAAAGAAGTAGACCAAGCTGCTCACCTGATGTCAGTTCTACCAATAACAGCTATGTAAAATGTAAATGACCTAAAGTTTGTCCGATTTATAAACAAAGCTGACCTAGGAACACGTTCTAGGTCAGAGTATGGTTAAGTCAGCGCGGTACGCAAGCGCGGTCGCAGGGCAGTAACGAGCGAGGCTCCCGACGAAGCGGAGGCCTCGACCAAAACTCCGGCGACTTATCATTTGTTTACATCTAAACATCATCAGCTGTTTCTTTCGCAATGAAGATAACAAGTGTGCTGACATTCTTAAGTCTAGTGATAAATTCTTATGAGGTAAAGTGTTGAAGTAATTCATTTGGCTTGAATTAAGATATTACAGTATTTATATGCCTTTGTTTGTTGTGTTTACATGTGCTACATTTTCTTTGATGTACTTATTGACCGGCGTTTTGTGGTGTTGCGGTTGCATTCATCGATTTGTGGACAAAGAATTTAGTGATGATTAGTTTTTGTAATTTGTTTTCCGTGATCCAATGGACATTTACATTATCTGCGTCTGTATGTATAACTAGGAAGTAAATATTATTGGCATTAAAATCAAGAGGAAAATTGTTTACGACTATAGATTTAAAAACTTGTTTATAATATTGAGTTCTTTGGCTTGTATTGTATTGTTTTTTAATACAATATCCTACGTGGTATACATTGTGCAAAAACAAATAAATAATCTCATTTAAACAGTGATTTATGGTCATTGTAACAGATTCATTTATTAAACGATAATAAAATGTATGAATGGGATAAACAAATTATTCTTCATCTAGAATACTAATTACTTATTTACATTATTTTATATGCTTGTCCATGTTTAGTCCTTCTTAGGTTAATATTAGATTCTACAATTCCAAATTAGATTTGATCTTACATCAACACACACACATATAATAAATATAATATAATAAATATTTTTATGGTCTATAGGCACTTACAATAATTGCGTCAGGGAAATTATCTAGTGTTTATGTCTAGCCTAAAAATCATGTGGAACTTTAGTATGGCGAAATTGTATTTTTATTATGTCACAATAATTATCTTAATTAGTGAAATTATAATATGCGACCTATTAGGTACATTTTACGTCGTTATTTCTAAAATTATTTAGACACCCACACACTGACAAACGGTGAAGGAAAACATCGCGAGGAAACCTGGGCTTATAATTTTCAATTATAAGTTTGTAATCGCCAACCCGCATTGAGCAAGCTTGATGATTAACGCTCAAACCTTCTCCGTGTGAGAAGAGGCTTTGTTCAGCAGGGGGCATTTATAGGCTGTTGATGATGAGGTCTTTATTAAAATGTACTTACTTCTCTATCAGGTTAACTTTGGTCAGTAAGACGAGTATCCCTAAGTTTAACTAAGCTGAAATCTTTTCCTCAGAAATCCACCCCTCAAGATGACCACTACGTAGGAGCTGTGGTGGAGTACACAGTTACTGGGAATGTGGCGACGAACCTCTTAAACTACGCCAATCTTATTAAGACAGCTGCTGATCAGGTTTGTGTTATTTTTATCTCATTTAAATAAATAAAAATATGTAAATACTAGCGGACCCGGCAGACGTTGTCCTGCATATCCACTTGAATGTATAAACAAAAATTCATTCAAATTAGTTCAGCCGTTTAGGATAACTAACCTAGACACCGACTGCAGCGCCGCCTGCCGGGCTGATTTGTGAATCGAAACCATCCAGGGCGCCACTCAAACGCGTACAGAAAAATTCATTTAAATCGGTCAAGCCGTTTAGGAGGAGTTCAATGACATACACACGTACAGCATAATTATATATATAAAGATTATGTTTTGTGTAACTATAGTTTTACGGAAGACTAAAATTGGCGTAGCTTTGAATTAAAAGATCATAGGTATGTTCGCCCACGAGTTCGCGTTCATGTTACGGAATGCCCTTTAAAATTCTCGAAAATAAGAAAACTCTCACCATACAATACAAGTAGTATTTTGGTACACATCTTTTTACCCTTTAACGTTTTAAGTATTTAAAGCATTCATGGCGATTTGTAAAATAGACGGGTACTGGTGTGTGGAAGCGAACAGGCGTACACACGGCCACACATCAATCTATAAAAAACCAGTTTATCCTGGTGTCGCGTCGCATTATCTTTCCGCACATTTAACGTTCTATTTATACTGGTTATGTAAAGTTCGATGTGTAGCCGTGTGTACTTACCTATTTACTAAGACTTCATGCATTAGATTCGTTACTTTTAAAAAGGGACGCACATTTTAAGTTTTTCTAATGAATATTTAGGTAGGTACTTATGTTATGAACTGTTGACTTGAGGAATGCACTCGGGCCAGGAAGCCAGCGTGTGAAACGCTGCCTAAGGTCATTCTTTATGTACCGATTTCTGTTTAAAAAGAAACTAAAGACAGCTCACACAGATTCTTGATTATTTTTATCAAGTATTACCCAATATATATTAATAGGTTACCAGCTAATACGTTACAAGAATTTTGTCATGCAGGTGAACTAAAACCATTTGCTTATGTTTCCAGGGTGCTGATATTGTGGTGTTCCCAGAACTAACGCTCACCAATGGCTCGACTACCTTCGAAGTGCCGATATATGGCAACTTACGAGACCACCCTGTCCCGGCTCTGAGTCCTGCTTTGTATGATGAGGTGCGTACAAATTTAATTGTAGACATAAATAGAAAGGATACAGTTATTTCACAGGAACTACATTGTTTTTATAATAACTATCGTGAGACATACTAAATTAATTAAAATCGAGGGTTACTCACGTGCATATACTAAGAAAAGCTCTACTAGTTTCGAACCACAGAGGGGTTCATCCTCATCAACGGCCACGTCGCGCAGCTCACTGTTTACCCGCAGTTTAAGGAACTAATTTTTTTTTACACTTTCCAGTTCATGGTCACGATATCAAACGCTGCGCGTCAAAATGACATCTATGTGGTAATCAACGGTCGTGAGCTGTTGGACTGCACAGTACAGCAAGCAGTAGGCGAGTACTGCCCGGAGGCGAAGCAGTACATCTTCAATACCAACGTCGTCTTTGACAGGACTGGCAAGGTCATCAACAGGTAAGTTATCATCTACTTCAAGTTGGAGACTGGGAATGTTACTATTGTAATAAGATGAGGAAATATCTGATTAGATAACTTTTTAAAGGCATGCGTCTGATAGCATTGTGTTTTACAGCTTTATGAAATCTATACTTTTTTGTTTGTTTGTTTGAACGCGCTAATCTCCGAAACTACTGGTCCGATTTGAAAAATTCTTTTTATGTTGGATAACCCATTTATCTAGGAAGGCTATAGAGTATAAAATATCACGCTACGTTTAATAGGCGCCGAGCAGAGCGACTGAAACCGCGCGGAAGTAGCTACTGCAATTGATAAAGCAATGCATTATTTTACGTGATTTTGGGATCTTCTGAGCATAACGTGTTTGTGTTTTTCGCTTTCGTTGGCTATCCAAAAACGAATAGTCTAAACATATCACATCGATTACTATTAGTATACTACTTTCTGTATGTGGTTAAAAGCTTATGTGTTGTTCCACATCGCAATTTACCCTTGTTCCAAATTTCATCTGAATGTCTTCTACCATTGAGACGAGATTGTGTAACAAACAAACATTTTTATGTTCCAGATTCCGCAAGATCAACTTATTCGGTGAATTTGCTCATACGCCTGCATTGAATCCGGACCTAGGAGTATTTGATACTGACTTCGGCGTCACCTTTGGCCACTTCATCTGCTTCGATCTGATGTTCCAAGTACCAGCCGTACAGGTCGTGCAGAAGAGTAAAGTCAAGAATGTCATTTTCCCCACTATGTGGTTCTCTGAGCTGCCATATTTGACAGGTTGGTGAAAAAATACTTATTAGGTGCAGTTGTGCATTGAAATCCAAACGTGTTGTGTTTTATTTTATCAAGGCTATGAGGGTGTTTCTTCCGTTGATTCAATTATTTATGAAAAAGGGAAGGGCTCTTGAAGGATAAATTATGTCGATGTATATTAACCCTGCCTCGTTGGTCGAGTGGTCGCAATTGCGACTGCCGAGTAAAGGGGTCTCGGGTTCGATTCCCGGGTCGGGCAAACTATTACTGGGTTTTTAAAAAATTGTCAGTAGTAGCACGGAGTCTGGAAATGTGCCCGGTATATGGCAATAGGCTCACCCCCTATTACATGGGACTCATAACATAAATAGTGAAAAGTGGGTGTTAAGTACATTGTACAGTGGTATAATGTGCACCTCTGGCTACCCCTTCGGGGAAAAAAGGCGTGATGTTATGTTATGTTAACCCCTTTGTATATTTTTCCAGCTGTGCAAATCCAAGAGGCGTACGCTTATTCCCTTGATGTGAACTTCTTAGGAGCTGGAGCTAACAATGTCAGGGTTGGCAGTGCAGGTATGAGACAACGATTTTGATTAGATATACGTGACCACATGCATGCAAACTTATTACAGTTTTCATTAACATACTTAACTCGTCGAGTACCGGTTTTATAGACACAATTAAAGAACAATAGGTCGCGGTCACCGGTGACCGCTTGGTGTTTGACAGTTTAACACGATAAGAATGTAGTTCGTCTATAAATAGTTATTTCTTTATTACTTAGTTATTAAGAAAGGTTATTGATGATATTTTATGTAATAATAAATAATTTATTCAAAAAGAATTTTAAACAGAAATTTTATATGTATGTCTTAATTCTACATTTTTATTGCTATGACATGCCATATGCCTGAACTAGGTTTGAAACGTGTACCTCAGGCAATAAAAAATTTTGTATGTTTGTTTGTATAAAAATATTGTCTTTATTTTTCAGGTTCCGGAATATATTCCGGAAAGGCGGGTGCCCTAATCAGTATCATGCCTGGTTTACCCACCACTAAAGTGCTCGTAGCTAAAGTGCCCAAAGTTCCTGGTCAAGTAAGTGTTACTTTTATTTAATAATACTCTATTTCATGTTAGCGATATTGTGATGACAGAAGTAGAAAGAGAAAGAGAGGGAAATCGAAAACGAGAGAGAAATAGAGAAAGAGAGGGAAATTGAGCAGGAAATAATAAAAATCTTTATTTTCTCAGAAATACTCTACGGATACAAATTATTTAATATGTTACAATTAAGGTTACACTAGTCGATATTTTTTCCATAGAAAGTTCGGGGTGGTATTACTCCACAGTGTGAATTTGTACCTCCAAAATTAAACACGACAACGTTTTATCTTGTAATTACATTTGTCGGTACGGAAACAAAAATAAATAAAAAAAAACGATTAAAAAGTTATGAGCCACCAAAGTTTGGTTTTTCATGACAATTTTAACGCAACTTTGGGTGTTAAAAAGTACCACTAATCGTGTAAAATCTCCAAACCGTAGACCGTACCGACACAGCACAATTACCAGAGAGTTCTATAAAATTTATTTGAATTTGATCTAAGCAGTGGTTTTTTCAAAAATCGCTATTTCCTAAAGCACTAAATCGTACTTTTATACGCACTCGTTTTACGATGAATTATCGTGCATTTCATTAGATAAAATTCCCCTGACAGCGGCGCGGGGCGGAGGGAAGACGCTCACGCGTTTTTGCACAAATTATTGCACGACACGCGCTGTCGTGCAATCATTAGACTATTTATTTTCTATTGTTTTGGACTCGGTCGTCTTACGTCCAATTTCAATAACCTATCTATCTTCAGATTTGCTTACTAGTGATAGAATGTTGACACTTTTTGTATGGAGCTTATGTCAAAATCCTATCTCTAGTAAGCAAATCTACAGATAGATAGATTATTGAAACTGGCTGTTAGTCTGCTGCTGTGGCCTACGTCGTTTGTATCGTATGTGTAGACTATTCTCCTTACGCTTATCTTACAACTGGAGCTTTGCGACCGGTGCGGTGGTGGGGTGTCGATAGGTAGGATAGGAGTAGGTCTATACCTACACAAAATTCCCTTTATACGATGACACGATCGTACTTACCCTATTTATTAGGTAGGTAGGTACTAAGGTATTATTCGCGGTACGTAAGTTGAACAAAAATATAATTGTTAGTTATCAACGAAGCCACGAGTAAGTACCTGCCTACCTATATAAAAGCTTGTCAGTAAACTGTCCGTAGGTATGATAGTGCCAGGTGTACGATACTTATATTATTTATAAATCGTAAAATCGATATACCTATACTAAACAATGTAAATAAATTGCAGTGTCAGTTTGTACCAAATATTAAAATACCTTACCTACATACAATTTTTCATGCTCACACGACTATTTGCACGATAAGTAGGTAAAAAAAACTACTTATTCCTTTGGACATAGGTACCTACGTATAACAAACAGAAAGACAGATAGACAGAAAAAACAAATAAATGGTTTTTAAACCCATTTTTTATTTATTTATTTTTGTATTTTTCCTATTTATTTTTCCGTCTGTCTGTTTTTCTTTTTGTTCAGGTCAATGTTCAATTCGGCTAGACCGAATTTGATATTTTACTAGCAGGTACACTACGTTTACGTACGGTATGCTTTTTAGCCATCCTTCCTAAATAACCTAAGTTATAATAATATAATAATAATATTCCACAACTATCACACAACGCTGTCCAGTCCCAAACTAAACAGAGCTTGTGTTATGTGTAGGTACCTACCTACTAGACAACAGATATACATACTTAGAGGTATATTTCTAAATATTTACATATTATTATAATTAGATAAAAAACACTCAGACAGAAGAAATGATCATGCTACCTAATTATAAATCAAACTTTAAGTACCTCTTTAGGCTCTTTATAATAAATTATTGTAGATAACCGCAAGTAGGAATATTGATAATATCAACGGGCAACAGTCAAGCCGAATGTTTTCGCGCAAAATACATAGGTACAGAAGTCAATCTCATGTAGGTATGTACCTGCTTCACTGTTTATACCTACGTGCTCGAGCGCGCTTTGTATGTAGTTATACCATAGAACTAACTAGGTACCTTTATATTTTGTGGCTATCGCGCTCCGTGAGAACTCGATTGGGGTTGTCAACTATACTTTTTATTACGTTTCTTACTTTATTTTTAGCAAGTAAACATACTTTTAGGTAATTACCTACTTTAACGAAAACTAAATAAATACAACAAATATTGTAGGTACCTATTAGGTTTAGTAGGTACATATAAAAGTTATTGGTACTTAGAAAAAAAAGTAACTGCTTACCTACAGAATTATATCCCTAGCCTTTCGTTATTCGTAGATTCTTCGGATATTGTGTTATCAACTTATCATAAAAAAATTTCAATAATTACAATGCCCTGTGACAATAATTACTAAAATTCATGCGAGCATCATAAAATCGTAGCAGCGCGTACGACTTTACTACGAGTAAACACACACAGCACAGATATATGCACCGTTCAGTGACGTTTTGCTGTGTTTGTGTGCGTGCGAACAATACGTCGTGCAAATAGATAGCGTCTAACTGCTCATCACTGGTACTATTTCTGTCGCACACGATGTTAGATGAGACAGCGCGCTTTTTGGCCACGCCCTTGATTGAGTTCGAGCCCGCGACTAGTTTAACCTTAAGAGACTGGTGTCTGTTAAAGGTATAACCTGTGTTACAGATCACCACCAGAAGTTCCTACCCAGAAGTGATCTAAATCAATAAGATTTAAAACGATTTGATTGTGTTTGCGTACAGCTGACGAGAGGACGATCAACCTTTTTTGTCATGATTCGTAAACACCCCTAGATCTTTCTAATAAAGCTTACTCCTAAATTATAAATCCATCTTTCCAGGTTACAGAGCCTTACCCAGGCCCCATTTACGATGACCCAGCAAACCACGATAACTTGAAACTAATCGTAGATCCTTCCTTACCGTCCCACGTCAGCAGACTGCTGGAACTGGGCTCGCAGGAGTTCACCTTGGTGGATAAAGACGTATCTTGCACCTTCAGGGTCACTCTCGCCCAGAGGGAAGGCAACACGGTAAGTTGACATTAGAATTTTATTTATCGAGTTCTTTAGTGCATGAATTAATTTATTTATAATTGCATGATGCATCGTTGCGTAGCACAGTTTGGAGTTTTTATTTTATTATAACGCTTTTTAGCATTGAGTATGTTCTAATTATTTAATTTTTATAATCAACTGCTACTAACACCGCACCGCATTTTGCACGTTTGACATGGATAGTTATTTGCACGTCTTCACTGTCGATCGGTATTATGTACCAGTATGATAATTATTCTGTGGTAGTTATTAAAACGCTTTTTAGCATTGAGTATGTTCTTATTATTATTTGATTTTTATAATCAGCCGCTACTAACACCGCACCGCAATTTGCACGTTTGGCAAGGACAGTTATTTGCACGTCTTCACTTTCGATGGGTATTATGTACCAGTATAATAATTATTCTGTGGTAGTTATTATAACGCTTTTTAGCATTGAGTATGTCTTATTATTATTTGATTTTTATAATCAGCCGCTACTAACACCGCACCGCAATTTGCACGTTTGACAAGGATAGTTATTTGCACGTCTTCACTGTCGATGGGTATTATGTACCAGTATAATAATTATTCTGTGGTAGTTATTATAACGCTTTTTAGCATTGAGTATGTTCTTATTATTTGATTTTTATAGTCAGCCGCTACTAACACCGCACAGCATTTTGCACGTTTGACAAGAATAGTTATTTGCACGTCTTCACTGTCACTTTGTATTATGTACCTACCAGTATTATTATTACTCTGTGGTGTGATATTACTTAATTTTACACTTAGTGTCTAGTGTGATCTAGCTGCTTGCTTTAGTAGTTTGTAGTGCATGATAAAGGTAAGTAACTTCTATTATTTCTATTAACGTTTTAATGTCTGTAATGTTCACGTATTTTGAAAGCATTTCGTTGTACGGTTGTTTGTGTCCTTATAATTTTATTTCTACTAACATTATCACCTTCATTAAATTATTTTTTATTACATTGCGTATATGTGACTAACTGTTTTAACGACTACAATATGGCTAGTCTAACATAACCTAGTTATACATCTGTTATTCTTTGTCACAATTCTTCTCGGACTTTCTTTCCCATTATATACATTTCTTCATTAAAGAAGATCACAATTTTATTAATTTTTTGTCCTTTTGCCAGCCGGTGTATTACCGAGCCTTTGTTCAAGATGGGACCAACACATATGCAAGGCGTGAAGTAGGTGTCGCCGCCTGCCTCCTTGTCGCTTGCAAAACTGATGACGTAAACTCTTGTCCTTATAGGTATGATTACATTTTATTATTAAATAAATTTTCATAGGTTCTGTGAATCTTTGAGTCTTTATAGCAATAAAGACTGTCAGCAGATAGAAAGAGGAGATTTTTTATTTGACTTACGTTAGCCATATAGTGAATCCATTTTATACGGCACCATAATAGTATTATTTTGGGGCCATGACTGTGTTTAACATATATAATAATAAATTTAATGTTAACCGTTACAGGTTTAACAAACAAGAAGAAATCACAGTAGAAAAACTAGAAATAGAGATGAGAACATACGAAAACACGTACAACGATACATTACAATGTGACAACATTGAATACTTCCCAGTAACACTGAGATATAACAAATTCCCATTGAGTCCAAAGAACTTCACATACACTGTTAAAGAAAAGGACCAGCAATGCGAACCGAAGGACCAGAACACAATATCGGTGTTACAGCACGAAATCTTGAGTAAAAAGAGTCGAGAGACTCTCCGGTTCAAGATAAATGTGCCTCAAAATGAGCTGGTGGCATTTGGTATTTGGGGCAGAGTTTATACCAGAGACGTTGATCATAATAAGCAGGCGTCAGAAGAAGATATACAAAACTTCAACACGTTACTGGACGATATATTCAGTTCTGAATAATTAATTATCATCATTTACATTACGGCACTTAATGCCACTGTACAATGTGACATCTACTTTTCATTATTTATGTTATGAGTCCCGTGTAATAGAGGATGACCTTATTGCTATATACCGGGCACAATTTCAGACGTCGCGTCGTGCTAATAATTATATAAAATATAAATAATTGTGCCATGTTTTTAAACTGTTTGAAGTACCTACTAAGATAGTTGTGAATGTGACGTCGAATTGTTTTTTGGAAAAATAGGTCTGATACGCTGTTGTTTTGTATTTTTCTTTTAAGATTACATAATGACCAACAATTGTATTAACAAATGTATGTCTACGTAAAGTCGTGTGTGGAGATAAAACTTTAATACAAAATTAGTACAATTTTGTTTCAAATTCGACTTATATTGAACTTTATTTCAAAAAAGTTTTTGACATGCTAATCTTGTGTTTGCTGTAGTATAATTACAGTATTGATCATAGTAATGATCATGGATCTGATATCGAAATTCCATTTTCTTTTAGAAGTGTTTAAAATTAATAATATATTTCTTTAGTATGTGATAATATTATTATACGTTGATTGAAAGACTGATTGATTTGGATGATTCATCGAATTTAAAGGTTAAAAGAAACTGAATCGTAAACATTGTGATGAAAGCTGTAAAATTATTTAAATTACTTAGATACTAGGTAACAAGTTCATAGAAATTTATTCTTTAGTTTAAGTGTAATAATAGTCATAATCGTTTGTCAAATTTAGACATAAATTATAACATGAACAATGAAATAAAATAACATAATAGATGAAAATATTGTGTCCTATAGTACATCTTAGTCTAATAACCTTTGGTCAATAGATAGTACATAGACAGGAACTACGTTTGATGTGACATTATATGAATTAAATAATTATGTCTCAATGTATTTCTTTTATTAACATACATTACATCACGGGGCAGAGGTGCATATTATGCCACTGTACAATGTAACACCTACTTTTAACTACATATTTGTGTTATGAGTCCCATGTAATTGGGGGTGAGCCTATTGCCATTTCTTTTATTCATTTCATTTATCACCTTCATGCATTCTTTGTAGAGTATTCAAACATCATCCAGTCACCAGTTTATAGATATGATTTTTAAGTACTTATGTGAAAACGAGCAGACAAATCACTTGATGCAAACGGCGCTGTACATGGACAAGTGAAACACCAGTGTGGAGTTACAAATATAGGTTGAATAGGTTGCTTATGTGACGTCATGCTCCACCGTAGACCGCATCATCGCTTACCACCAGGCGAGATAGTGATCAAACTTCGGCACATCAAATATAAAAAAGTGCGTTGCAGGCCTTTTGGGGCGTAGGAATTTGGCCTACAAGGCATACGTATTCAGAGTCGTACAATTTTCATTATAATTAAAATATTATTCACTATTTATTTTTAAGTAACTTAGAGTCAAAGTCAAAGTCAAAATCATTTATTTAATTAGACCAGGAATGAATCAAATAGACCAGGAAGAAAGAATTAGAGGAACCCACAACAAAGAATAATATATAGTTATATTTTTTTTTTCATTTCAATGCAAGTTTTTTTATCATTATATACGTAAGTTAAATACAGTTTTTGACAGACAGAATATGAACATTAGTTACCTTTGTATAATATTGAATGTAAATTAAATTATTGTATAATTATTTGATTACAGCACTACAGATATAGAGCGGGAGTTTTCAGTGGAGTACGCTCCTACTCTGGCGTAGCAACAGGCGGTGTTAGAATTTGCGGCATCTACGCATGTACTGATGAGAACAGAAGAACATGTGGAGACAGGTAAAGTTAACTTTAATCTTTATATAAGTTTTAAAACTGTTGTAACCTAGCATAACATTATGCCTTTTATCCCCGAAGGAGTAGGCAGAGGTGCACACAGAAGTAACACCCACTTTCACTATTTATGTTATTAGTCCCATGTAATAGAGGGTGAGCCTATGGCCATATACCGGGCACAATTCCAGACTCTGTGCTACTACTGAGATTTTTTTAAACTGTTGTAGTTTGAAATTATGATTAGGACACAATTAATTTTAGATTTTCCGACACTATCTGTTGTGTGGCAAATAGTAAAATCACTAGCGAACTGAAACTCATTGCAGATTAAAGACTAATAATATACAAAGTAGTTAATTGTCTTTACACCTCTATATTATTTTGTTACCATCTACCTATCGGGCTTAGGTTAGTAAAATATATCTCAAAAATCATACGGAATTCCAATTTTAAAATTTTGTATCTGTTGCAGGTTGCCAACCTATGTAGCAAATACGACAGGCATTTTCGAGGAGCTCGTAATCACAGCAACTTTGCCAACACCAGTTCTAGTCTCCTCCCTTGACACAGACGACTCCATAGTCTACCCCGTATCATCAAAGGTCACCGTTATGCCTTTAGAATCAAAGGACTTCACCTACACCAAGGTCCAACAGAGTGACGTCACAGTACATACAATGACGTTGACAAACAAAATGGCAGAACTATACACGTTTGCTATTTGGGGTAGACGTTTCGCTACTGATGGACAGGAGGCAGACCCTCCATTGCCTGATGAGCTGGGAGATGTGACTCCTGAACCTGCAACCCCGACTACGCCTGCTCCTGAAACCACGCTTGGTCCCGAAACCACGCCTGGTCCCGAAACCACGCTTGTTCCCGAAACTACGCCTGGTCCCGAAACCACGCCTGGTCCCGAAACCACGTCTGGTCCCGAAACCACGCCTGGTCCCGAAACCACTACGCTTGATACCGAACCTACGCCTGCTCCTGGTGCGTCTACTGTTCATCTTCTGAGTAAATTTCTGTTCGCAACTTTAGTGGCTTTCGTCTGCTTCAGTGTTTAAGGTAGATATGTCGAAAGATTAAGATTTTTATTTATTATATCTGCTCTATTCGCAGTTTATGAAGAGTAACCTCTTTTAAGATATAATCTACTATTTTATATCAAATGTAATGTTTAATTAAGCTGAGCAGTTACTTCTATGTTTGTACGTCTGAAGTAATAGTTTGGTTTGAAAAAGTATGCTATTGAAGTATTGATAACCCAAATCTACAGGAGGTTATCAAATATTAAATGCTATGATAATTATGTAAACGGATCGAAGTTCCTTGGTATATATAATAGTTGGTACAATTTTGTTGATTTTATTCTTTTGTGGATTTTTTCTAGTATCGTAAAATTCTACACACACATGCTTATCCCAATCTGTCTAAATTTATCAACAGAGTTTCAACTTAGGTACTTTGAAAGAATAAAGTTGAAAATCAAAGAAAGACATATTGGGGCACGTTGATGATCTGGCATCAAAATTTTAAACGGTTCCGCCAATTTTGGCTGTGAGTAAATTGGTCTCGAAGATTATAAGTACAAGATTTAATTTAGATGCTAAATTATAGTCAGTATGACGTATAGCTTTCATTATGATTTATGATTATTAGTTTTGTATTGAACATTTATTAATCATCTCCATGGTTGTGATTACTTAGATTAATATTTTATGCAATGTATGCATTGCAGAATATAACTTAATTAAAGGGCCATAAAGACCTCATTGCGCATGTGGTCAAGTACAATCAGGCCAAAAGGAAGCCGAGGTCTTATAATTAATAGGATTTTTAAACAATATTTTTTATATTCAATTATTTTATCCATGTTATTTAGTATTGTAAGCAATATTATAAAATTAAATATATTTTAACCGGTTAATTTGGGATTTTATTGAATTGAATTATTCCTATTACAAAATTTACTACGTCACTGCTACGACGCAACTATACCACAGCTACTAGCGAGCTACAATATAGCTACACATTTGCTAAGCCACAGCTAAACAACTGCTGCGTTACCTCGACGCTACAGCTGCATTACTACTACGTTACCTCTACACTACAACAACACCTCTGCTACCATACTGATGCACAGCTAGTAGCTAGAGCACTGCTACGATACTTCTACACCACAGCTGCTCCACTACTACGCCACAGGGGCCGTAGCCACGATATTACTACGTCGTTCAGCTGTACCACCGCTACGTATTTACTACGCTACTGTATAGCTACACTTCTGCTACATTAGTGCTACGTCAAAACTACGTTACTGCTACGCCATTGCTACACCAATGCTATACAGCTGCAACGCTACTGCTACAGCGTTGTCTACTGTAACGTAGGTGGCTGTGTATACCACTAGTGCCACTGGTACACCACTCCTAAGCTACAGTTAAATTACTTGCTACGAAACTACTAAGCCACTCTCCGTTCTTCTTAACGATGACACCAAGTACCTATGGAGTATCAAAAACAGATTTTAGGAGTACGATAACGAAGTATAGTAATTTATTTTAGATTAATTCGACTAAATAATAAACTTTTCGCACTAGCAGCATGATTGTAAAAGTGTATTTACTTATTCATAAACTGATAACATTTCAAATACACGGTGTTGAATTTAAACAACTTTAGTATCTAAGTTACAAATTTATATATGTTTTTTTTTAACTCATAAGAATAAATGGCTTATCAAATGAATAGTATTTTGTTATTTTAGAATTGACCTTTGTATCTTCTGCACATTTTTAGCACACGCATTGTAAATATATGTAGTTTTGCGCAGCAGAAACGAGCGTTCTTAGTGACAGCGATACTGATACTGAACGAAGAGAAATAACATTATAATATTTTTCGATAAGGCTTTGAAAAATTAACTTATGTTTTATAGCCTATGTATGTATTCCAAGGGTAAAATAATTTTTCAAATCGGTCCTGTAGTTTTTGAGGAGATTCAATTCAAACTAACAAAAAATATAATCTTTCCTCTTTATATTATTAGTGTAGATGCAGATTACTGGTTGAATGAGACAACGGCGACGACTGAACATGTTTCAAAGCCTCATGTCCTACAAAAACACCGTTTAAGAACTTCAACATGATAATATCCTTTTCTTCTCGACTGTTTCGAAGTCTTGGGTTAGAGCCCCGAACTTAGAAAGTATTAATTTGAATTTATTTTTATCACATTGGTCAATGAGGTAGAAGACAGATTCACGTGAAATTATACTAACATCTATGTTATGTTGCTTATGGGTCGACGTGCTCCATCGTAGACCGCATCATCGCTAACCACCGGGCGATATAGTAGTCAAACGGAGGATAATAAAAAAAAAAACTGCTACAGCAAAGGATTCGCCAAAATTTATGTTCGCTAAAAAGTTCTTTCATGTAATTCATCATCAACAGCCTATAAATGCCCACTGCTGAGCAAAGCCTCTTCTCACACGGAGAAGGTTAGAGCATTAATCACCACGCTTGCTCAATGCGGGTTGGCGATTTCAAACTTATAATTAGAAATTATAAGTTCAGGTTTCCTCACGATGTTTTTCCTTCACCGTTTGTCAGTGGTGTCTAAATAATCTTAGAAAGTACATATAACTCGGAAAAAGTCACATTGGTACTTGCCGTTGGTAGGTTTCGAACCCGCACCCTCATGCATGAGAAGTGGGCGTCTTAAACCTCCGGGCCACCACGACAATTATCACCACGACATTCATGTAATTATCAGACGTATATTATCAAAATTTATTTATTTATTTATTTATTTATTTAAGCTTTAATGTACACAGAATCAAGTAATGGTACATAAGGCGGACATTAATGCCATATGGCATTCTCTCCCAGTCAACCTTAGGGTTAAATTGAAAAACGGCGAAAAAATAGGCATGTGTAATTATAAGAAACAAATAACATAAATAGACTTTAATAAATATAGATAGGCACAAAAAATATTTAAAATGTACACTACAATATAAATACAACATAAATATATAGGTATATATATATGCATGCTCATATATATATATATATATACTAAATAAATAAATTCTATAATAATACATATATAATAATAATAGACCTAGACTCAGCGTTGTAGTGACTTTAAAAAGAAATCGTGAACATCGCGTTTGAAAGTGATCTTATTTGGAGCCTTTTTTATGTTAAGCGGTAGTGCGTTCCATTATCCGGCAATTATTGCACTAACAAAATTTAAATAGGTAAGTAACTATGTACTTAATATTTAAGTACAGCCATACTTAGATCTCAATGGCCTCGTACTTCTTTTATGGAAGTAATGTATCACAACCGGCAAAAGTTGATGTAAATTTTCCCTTCATCGTTTATCGTCCATGTTTTCATATCAATGAATATTTATATTAACTACAGGATGTATTTTTGCCACATACGCAATAATTAAACCTCAGTATTTGTTTAATATTTTATTGAAAACTGCCTCGCTGACCTAGTGGTCGCAAGTGCGACTGCCGGGCAGGGGGTCTCGGGTTCGATTCCCGGGTCGGGCAAAGTATTACTGGGTTTTTAAAAAAATCTCAGCAGTAGCACGGAGTCTGGAATGGTCCCGGTATATAGCAATAGGGTCACCCCCTATTACATAACATAAATAGTGAAAAGTGGGTGTTACATTGTACAGTGGCATTAAGTGCCATAATGTGCACCTCTGTCTGCCTACCCCTTCGGGGATAAAAGACGTGATGTTATGTTATGTTGTTTATTGAAAACTAGCTGACCCCGCAAACTTAGTAGCGTCTAAAATATTTTTTTCTGACCTTTTAAACCTTTCCTGGACTTCCACGAACATTCCATGACCAAAATTAGCTCAATCGGTTCAGCCGTTCTCGAGATTTAGCGAGATAACTATGCACACGTCGCTGACAGACGTTCTTTAGGTTGAGATGTGAGTGTAATAAGATCAAAAGGGCAGTAAACAAAATTATGTACATTACGTTAAAGTGGCACACGGTTCAATATCGCACGGCACTAGTCTGTGCTAGTGCTAACAACTGTGAGTGGTATGTGTATTAAATAATATTATGCAATAAAGTAAAGTGTAAATATATCAACATCTAATCTTTAATCCTGTAAAGGATAAAGGACTGCCTCGTTGGCCGTGTAGTCGTAAGTGCGACTGCCGGGCAAGGGGTCTCGGGTTCGATTCCCGGCTCGGGCAAAGCATTACTGGGTTTTTTAAATATTTTAAGTAGTAGAACGGAGTCTGGAATTGTGCCCGGTATATGGCAATAGGCTCACCCCCTATTACATGGGACTCATAACATAAATAGTGAAAAGTGCGTGTTACATTGTACAGTGGCATAATGTACACTTCTTACCCCTTCGAGGATAAAAGGCGTGATGTTATGTTATGATGAAGGATGTATTTGCATTGTGCGCCTAAAACTTTTCAAAACCCTGTCTCTAAAGGATCAAATCGTTATTTGTATCTTACTCAAATGGCTATTCGTTTCATAATCTGTTTTATGAAAGAATCGATTTATAAAGAACATTTTGAACTATGATCGCTAACCCGTCTGCTAAGCGTGGCGATTATGGCAAACTCTCCTATTAAACTGTCAAACACCAAGCGGTCCCCGGTGACCGCAACCTATTGTTCTTTAATTGTGTCTATAAATACGGTACTCGACGAGTTAAAGGAGGCCAGCCTATTCTAGCATATACATATATACATGCTCTTGATGATGATGATAATGAATAGTATATAAATATATCTCAAGAGTATACATTATATATGTCAAGAGCCGTAATACGTCCACTGCTGGACAAAGACTTCAGAAGTACACGTATTAGGTACGGGGTGTTAATAAGTGTAACGAAGGATATATCTTCAAATCTCTTTTAAATATTGGTTAGTTTTCAATTTCAAATACGTTTAGTACGGTTGATTGTTTTCGAAGTTACCCTGAAGATTGTTACCCTGGGAGACGCCTTGTCGCACGAAATCGCATTGCAGCAATTCGTATCGTAATTTTTTGCGTTGCGACTTCGCATCGCATCGCAGTTTTGTGTACAAGCCCCGAAATCAAGCCAGAGCCGTGCCTAGTAGTTTCGATTGCAACCACCAATCTAGTGCAAAAATCAGCTTTACATGAGATATACGACGCAAACAATTCACATTTTTTTAATTCTTTTTAATTGTCTGTCGGTTTATTTCTTTTAATTAAGTAGTATTAGGTAGATAGATATTGCGCAGTGCCGTGCAATATCTACCGGATTCAATTCTCAAATGGATAAACTTTTTATGTGCTTCGTAAATATTTATTGTTTTGGGTCTAGGTATCATGTGTAAGTATGTGAACTTGTATGTTTAAATGTAAAATCACCACAGGAGAAGATTCTAGTGTGGGGATCGTTTTATAAAAGAAAAATATAATATGCATCAACCTGTATCACTAGCAGTTATTACATCATTAAAATTAATAATGTTTAGTTGGTATGCTTTACTCGGAGTCAGTTATGCACTCATCTCAGGCCAGTTCACACGTCACGGTACACACGACGCGAGACACAGCGACCTTGTATCCGAAGATACGCCGCGAATCTTAACATCGTGTGTAACAGTATAAGTGTCGGCTTCTATATAAAATATCTCATTCAGTATCTTGCCCTATTAATAAAAGTGGTTTTTATTTAGTAGAAAATAAAGCATAATTTATAAAAATGGTGCAAAATAAGAGGATTCTTGTTATTTATACTGGAGGCACTTTTGGTATGCTGAAAAATGAAAAAGGAGGTTAGTGGTTCAAATTATGTTTTATTTTTAATTTTTATGTTGGTTACAGTAAGGCATTATGTTTTATGGTGTTGTGCAGTTTATTTTCCTTATAATCATAGTTTGAATCCTATAACTTAGAGGCTATGTTTTGTAACAAAGAGTTTCCTTTTCTTGTATAGAAGCACTAATTCTATGGATTGTCAGTATGCATATGTGAGCACCATGTTGGACTTTAAGTTAATTGTTATTTATTTTTTTTAATTTTTGTAAGTTATTAGTATAATGCGTCAAGCGTGTCTTTGCATTGTTCTTACATATGCGTACAGTATTGAAATATGTATCAGAGACATTGTAGAACATACTTTTTTTAAAAAGAGTAACGAATGGAGTTTCTTGCTCGTTCTTCTCCATTCGAATCTACTTTTTGGAATGAGCACCTAGCTTCACCTAGTTTCACTGACGGACTGACTGACAGACTATTATTTATTTTGTATTTGTTGACGTTTCAAAAGCACCAAACTATGGTTTAATTGAAATAAATGCTTTGACTTTGACTTTGACTTTAACAAAAACTATCACTACATATACAAAGTCGCTATCGCCGTCTGTCTGTCCCTATGTATGCTTAGATCTTTAAAACTGCGCAAATAATTTTGATGCGGTTTTTTTAATAGATAGAGTGATTCTTAAGGAAGGTTTATATCTATAATACATGCATATTGCACCCGTGCGAAGCCGCCCGGGTCGCTAATAAATTATAAAGAAGTATAATATACTGTATTGTTTTTTAAACTGTCAAACACCAAGCGGTCACCGGTGACCGCGACCTATTGTTCTTTAATTGTGTCTATAAAACCGGTACTCCACGAGTTAAAGGAACAATACTTTACACTAACATGTTATGTTAATACTTTACTTACACTATAATTCTGATTATGGTTTTCTGCTCTCGACATTCTACGCAAATGTTTATCAAGTAAGGTATAGTCCCTAGGTCCCTATAAAAATTCAGAAGTTATTATTAGAAACATATTTTACTCACCCGAGTTTTTTTAACGTCTAAGTATTTTTTGTAGATACATAAAAATAATTAAAGATAAAATACGTATCTATATTTGCCAGTGGTTCTATTTGCTTAAAAATTTGCTATGTACTTAAATGCAATGCAATAATTATCACAGTCGCGTTCAAAGTAAATAAGTATCTTCTTCTGAGAATAGAACCTATGTTAATACTTTTAAGAGTTTTTCATATAAAATCTGTTTGACATAAAAATGCTTTATCACTAACATAACATAACATCATGCTTTTTAACCCCGAAGGGGTAGGCAGAGGTGTACAAGACAGCACATAATGCCACTGTACAATGTAACACCCACTTTTCACTATTTATGTTATGAGTCCCATGTAATAGGGGGTGCTTAACTACTTTTATGACTTAATTCAATAACAATTAGAATGTAAATGAAAGAAATACCTACAACATAAAATACGTTAATGGAAACTGTGTCTACATAAATAATGAATTAATTTATTAAAGCATTGAAGTTATCTTCTATTGATAACATCGTCAAAATGATAAATAGGCTTTGTGAAACTATTATTTTAAGTCTCGTGATATTTAAATCAACATTTCGTTTTTATCAGAGATAAAATAAACACTATCTTAGTCTAAAATAGTTTCTATAACTTCCCTTATGCGTATCAAAAAATGTAATTGTAATGTCCAAAAAAACAATCATGGCAGAAATACTTTGATGCAAAAGTGAAAACTCCTTGTAAGAGTCGTACTTATATACAGAACTAGCTACTTCCGCGCGGTTTCACTCGCTCTGCTCGCCGCCTATTAATCGTAGCGTGATATTTTATAGCCTTCCTCGATAAATGGGCTATCCAATACGAAAATAATTTTTCAAATTCGACCAGTAGTTTCGGAGATTAGCGCGTTCAAACAAACAAACAAAAAACAAACATTTTTACTTTTTCTATACTTATCAGTATAGATACTATCTTACGATTATTGGGTTAGGCATAACTAGAGGGCTCAAGGCATTAGACTCTCATCAACGTTATCAATTATTACAATAAGTCCATGTGTCATCGACGTGCTCTACCGTAAACCGCATCATCGCTTACCACCAGGCGAGATAGAAGTCTAACGTCGACACAACAAATATAAAAAAAATGTGTCAGAAATGTCCGTCTTACATACCACTTTGAAGGAATAAAATGTGCGACAATATTATGTATTATATACTACAAGTGTATACTACCATAAACCTCTTTTTTGTTTTGCAGTGCTTGTACCTCAGAAGGATATAGAAAGAAGAGTGATCAGAAAACTACCACAGTTACACGACAATGTTTACTGGGAGAAAAATCTTGCCGGAACAGACCTTAAAGAATATCTGGTGATACCAGGTTCGTTTACCTGATAACAATTTATGAAATGTTAGCTAATCCAAAATTTGTAGAGGGTAGCCAGGACTAGCCGTAGACTATTGCGGGCTGTTGATGATGGTGATAATGATAAAACCATGGTGATCCGTCCTTTGCCTTCTATTTCAAGAAAGTAAACCAATATTTATTCCAATTTCTTTCCTCAGAGATTTTCTCTTCAAAGGATATTAAGTAGTCAAAAACATAAGACGCATTATTGCAGCTTCGTCAATTGAGTTTGTGCTTAGCAACACATTATAAGCAAGACACAGTTTTACCGAAGTGGCAGTCGACTGTAACGAATATTGTGTATTATAAAATCATCATTTTCAACTTGATGTTTACGCTGTGGTTCACTCAAGTCTAACAATAACTTATTATTGAAAAATATGACTGACGCAACTGTAATGAATTACATAATATCTCTTATCGTTTAACGTTATTCTGTCTTCATTATTACTAATATCGACAAATATCTTCTCAGATGGCAAGGACACGGAACAGAAAGTGTTATACAAAATATATGAATATGATGAGCTGAAGGACTCCTCAGACTTCACCATGGACGACTGGATAACACAGGCTAGAGATATAAAGGTAAACTATACACAAGTTGCGGAGAACCTAACGGGTAACCGGGGCTCCGGTTCGACGTGCAGGAGAAGGAACGTGGTGGTTTTTAGTTAGTAAGAGTCTGACACTCCCTTCCGCCTCACCCAGGCGGGAGCAGTCATTCGATGATTTTCCTCTCTAAAAAAAAACAATACACAAACATATTCATGTCACAGACGGTAACTGACTTTAACACGTTAACCGCCGCATATGTCAACGGTGACCTACGTTAGGGAATTTGCCTTCAACAGTTTTCTAAGATCATTAGAGACATGCATATTGCATATACATAATGTGGTGTCTATGTTTATCAACCCTAAAGTGAAAAGCTAAACAAAAATTACTGTTGCTTATAAAATAATATAATTATTCATTCAAATATTATGATGAACTATATAAGGGCTCGTAAACAAAACTGCTATGCGACGTCGCAAACATGTACGAGCTCCCTATACGCATCGCAAGAACTTGCGAATTGATTCGCATTGTGCATAAAATCTTACATTCCCAAAATCTTCTTCGTTTCTTTTTCCTATATCTCCTAATAAGCAATAGCAAAAGTGCACACTTATTTTTAAGATCTATGTCACAACCTAGTTTTTAATTTAAAATACGTTTAGTACCTATGGTTGACGGTCGTCGAAGGAATGGTCAACCTGGGAGACGTCTTGTCGCACGAAATCGCATCGTTGCAATTCGCAAGATAAAATCATCTAAAGATGTTTGTCTCATAATAATAACTCACGTATTCTGTTTCTAAGTGTTTTAAATAAAATGTTAGATAACTATAACCTTCCTCAATAATACAACTAACACGATAAGATTAGCGTTCAAACAAGAAAATGATATTTAGACAAACATCAGTAAGCATAGATTGATAACGCGGGTAGCGCGGTTGCGCGCGCAAGTAGCGCCCGGACTAGTTTCGAGCTTAGGCAGGGTCCTTGTTATCGAGCATCTCTAAGATAGATTCACGTAAGTGTTATAAAGATAATCTTGTATGTCCTACGATAGTCACTACAGAAAAATCAAGTAGTTTAGACAAAGTCACTAAACTATTAGAATCTTACGCTTTGTTAGCGTCGCCTAATAAAGGTAGCGCTTTTTTTTAAGTATTTAGCGTCGCTTAATATTGAGATCTTACTTTTTGTTAGCGCCGCCTAATAATCAAAAGGTAGGCCTAATAAAGGTAGCGTTTTTTATAAGTATTTAGCCTGTAGCCACAAACATATTTCATGATCACTCTTGACTATAACTAAGTACATATATTATTAGCCTCATAATTTTAATCATTAAATATCCTATTTGCAGAAATTCTACCACGATTATGATGGTTTCGTGGTGCTGCATGGCACTGACACGACAGCGTATGGAGCTTCCATCCTGTCCTTCATGCTGGAGTCAGTTGGCAAGACCGTCGTACTCACAGGAGCACAGGTAAGAATAACTGTTGTTTTAAACATGTATTGAATAGACAGATGTAAGGGTAGATTGTTAAAGAAGTGTACTTATCTATTTATGTATAATTAGTTATATTATATTAGTAATAGAAATATTTTATAAAATCTCAGTAGTAGCACGGAGTCTGGAATTGTGCCCGGTATATGGCAATAGGCTCACGCCCTATTACATGGGACTCATAACATAAATTGTGAAAAGTGGGTGTTACATTGTACAGTGGCATACATAATGTATACCTCTGCCTACCCCTTCGGGGATAAAAGGCGTGATGTTTGTTATGTTAAAAATAAATATTTGATAAGATTTAAAAAAAATAGACACGAAAATAATTTAGAATGAATAGAAATACAATTAACGAACGCTTTAAAAAGCAAACTGGCGAACAGTTATTGAAATAAACTGAGCAAGCTAAATAAAGCGGTTTTGTATATAGAATTGTCTAAAAGAACTAGATCATGTCCTTATAATTGCTGCTTCAATTTCAGATTCCCATTTTCCAACCTCGCAGCGATGGTAACAACAACTTGTTGTGTGCTATCCTTATCGCAGCCACACAAAACATTCCAGAAGTCACAGTATTCTTTGGTGCCAGGCTCTTCAGAGGCACAAGGTAAACACACAGATGAAATATCGCAATTTTATTATGACACTGATATGAAAATAACGAATACTTACGTGGTAAAGAAAATCTATAGATATATATATATATATAAATGAAACCCGTTTCCCGTTGTCACGCCATAACTTAAGAATGACTGGACCGATTTGGCTGATTTTTTCTAGTGTGTTTGTTATTGTCAGTAGAAGGTCCTTATAATAGAAAAAAAACCTGAAAATATTATGGGAACGGGAAACGGGATTGCGCGTACGAAGTCGCGGGCAGAAGTTAGTCACATATATTTTCCAATTTGATGACGAAAGTAGTCATTGTACTATTCAAAATTGAAAAATGATAGGTAAACTAGTTAAATACATTTGTTTATGACATAACTAATTGATTACTAACTATCGAATCCTATACTTCCAAAATATGAAACTACCATGTATCACTTCACAGGGTAAAAAAAGTATCAAACACAAAGATCTACGCGTTTGACTCGCCGAACTTCCCAGCGCTGCTCGAAGCCAAGGCGACCCTGGATGTAGACCCGAAGATGCTGATCCATCCCCCTGGCTCCGTGCCCAATGAGTGCAGATTACATGACAAGCTCTGCAGGAAGGTGTATATCTTGAAGATGGCACCCACTATCACACCTGAACTGATTAAAGCAGTGTTTTCGGGCATGGAAGGTGATTACTGTTTAACTTTACCTTTTTTTTATATTTGGTTTGATGAAGACGATAGTTTCGGTAGCTTGTGACAGACTGCGTAACAAAGAATAGGTTTCGTTTGAACATTTTTGTTTCTATCGCCATTTTTTTGTTATTGGGTACACCGAAATTGAGAACTTTTGTGCGGGGAAGACGAAAGGGAATGTTAGACTATTACTATGACTAACAATTCTTTTATAAATTACGTATAAAAACCGACGTCAACCGTCGTCAGTCCTTTTTTTTAAGTTGGTTAATTAATATACTAAAACCTTTTACTAAGTGTAACCAACACTTTTCTGAAAACCACATCAAAATCGGTTCAGCCAATCGCGAGATTCGCTCACAAACATACATACCTACATACATACAGGTCAAACTGATTACCTCCTTCTTCTTTTTTGACGTCGGTTAAAAACCACCTCGTTACCCAGAAATTCATACTGGCTTATTTACACTTAAGACTGTCATGCTTAAATCAGATAAGCTAGTTTATCAACACCATGATCCTTAGGCAATGTGGTCTACTGTATTTTTACTCACCAGATGGTGCTAGTGTAAACCTCTCGTTCTTCGTCCATTAGGGAATTATAATTCCCTTATTCCCTATTGCAGGTCGAGTGTACCGTAATAACTCTTCATAAGTGCTAAAATTATCGATGTTACCTCTAGTGACATCTTATAATGTAGTTTTGTGTTACTTGGGTAGCTAGTGTCACCTCATTGGACCTTCAATATTTGACAACGCCATCTAGTGACCAATATCAAACATTATTCTTCAATTCTTCTTCTTTTTAGGCGTCGTTCTAGAAACATACGGCAACGGTAATATTCCCATCAAACGCAAGGATATCTACAAAGAGATCGAGGCGGCAGTGAAGAACAAGGTGCTGGTGGTGAACGTGACTCAGTGCATCAATGGAACTGTCATCGCTAAACCTTTGTATGAGACTGGACTGGTGAGTAGGAAAATACTTTCATACTAAAACTGATCTATGATCTATTTGAAAAGACTAAAAGTTGAGACGCGTTCCATATTAACCTGTGGCATAAAATATGGTGCTGAGCTGAACAGACTCAGTGCCAAGCCCAACATAGATAAGAAAAATACAGAAAAAAAAATTTTTTTTTTGAAAAGTATAGGTATATCTGAGTACTTACCTGGGTGCTTACTCTTGAAACCAATCTCAATGTAAATGCAATTTCAATTCAATCTCAATAATTATTCAATGTCAAAACTATACAACCCTCATCGTAGCTGTTAAAATAGCATTCCGAGTACGGAATATAAAGCCCAACTAAATACCATTTAGATCATTAAATTTCCACGCAATACGGATGCAATGGGTGCTAGCGCTAACTCAAGAGTACGAAATTTTACAATACCAATGTCGATCGATTGGTATTGGATTCAAGAGAAATTCCCCTGAGCTCTATTGATTCCGGTACAAATTCAAAGGTGTCTATAATTTTCAGAAAGCGAGCTATTCTGTGAATAGAAAAGTGTTTTTTTTCTTTATATTTGATGGGCCGACGTTTGACCACTATCTCACCTGGTGATAAGCAATTATGCGGTCTACGATGGAGCACGTCGTCCCATAAGCAACCCATTCACTCGAGCCCTGAAGACACCCAGGTTATACCCTTCAGGAAATACAGACTCTGGCAAAGAATTCCACTCCTTAGTAGTACGGCCAAGGAACCTTGACGCGAAGCGCTTCGTGTGTGTGGGTGAAACCATGAATCGGTGACATGGAGTATTAATTTTTTTTTATTCTCAGCTTCTATTAGAATGCGGAGTAGTGCCTGCATACGACATGACGGCTGAGGCAGCGTGGGCCAAGTTGTGCTATGTGCTCACTAAGACAGAACTTAGCTATGAGGAGAAAGTTAAGGTAAGAACAAAGAAGTTTGATGTTATGTCTCATATTCCTGCAGAGTAAAAATGACCTTACAAGTTATATAATAATCACGCTTTTTGCTAATCGTGTGTTTAGTTGAAGGTGGTATCAATAGTCTCATTACTGATTTCTGAATAGAGTTCATACACCTCAGTCAAGTTGATGATCACTTAAATTAATGATATTTTAAAAACCGACTTTAATATAATGTGTCAAGGTTTATTTTGTATTAACAAGTAAAAGTAATGTTTATTTTCTTTTGTTTGCAGTTAATGAAGACGAATATTCGTGGCGAGATGTACAACCCTCACTAATTATATTTAATTAGAAAAAAATGTAAAATAATTATAATTTGTAGGATTGTATGATTGTTTGTAACTGTATTAAATGTCGAATAAATTAATTATTTTATAAGGTGTACAGATTGATTTTATTATGACAACTCGAGGTAAGTGTGTTAGTTTGTCCCTATGCCATAAAAAATCAGACTGAGAACCTTCTTAAATCTTAATGTATACTTACTAAGGTAGTCACCATATTCCGTGATATCTTTTTAGCAGAAAAAGATAAATTACTAATAAAATATCTATCAATTTATATCGGAAAGGACTAACTAAAAAATAAGACAAAATTGTTACACATATTTTTATTAAAATAATCATTTAGCTTATTCAATACCATAAAGAAAATATTTCAGATACATCCATTTGTTGTGCAAATATATTAGAATACAATCTAAATACAAGACGTAGTACGAAATAACAGAAAAATGAGAACAACAAAATATGAAACCAACAACAAAAAATTAAATTATTCCATTAACTTCAAGTATGTACGTAAAATAATAATTATAATTACGAAATGTCAATTTTTAAAAATGCCATTGCTTTGGAATTCATTACAAACGCACACCACACAAAAATAAATCGCACCCTTAAAATCTTACTTAACAAAGTAAGTATTGGTGGGATTTCAAGCTCTATTCTTAAGAACATAACCTTAAAATTCCTTACAAAGCTGAAAAACGAACGCCGAAATTGTCACACAATTCGACAGCGAAAAAAAAAAACTTAAAAACTATTTAAGTGTAACCTTTATAATGAGTTTAAATATCAGAAGTATATGTTAAGCAAAAACTTGTACAATTTATAAACATTGCTTGATACGGCGGTAACTGACACAATTTTGAAAATCTACGGAAAAGGGCAGTGCCTTAGAACACGTTGTCTTAATATATAATTACTACACAGTTGTACAAAATCTAAATTCTCTAAGACAATTTACCTGTAGTCATTCTATTGAAAAATATACATCTTCGTTCGGTAAACACACTATGAGTCGACATTTAGGTACATTTAAACTACAAGTTATGTACTAAGTAGGCATTCGACAATTATTTATATTAACCGCCGTACTCACAGATATTCAAACCAGTCCTTAACAATTATTTTCTGAACAAAATCGTTCTTAAGGAATAGATGTCTCTGAGTAAGGCAGTAAGTATTACAAATATATGATAATTTGAAAACTCACATCGATTTTTAATATTTTATAAACGAGAATATTACACGACTTTGAAGTGATATTTTTTTAGACCATAGAGTTAGGAGACTGGACAAAGAACTTTTACACAGTAAATGAGGTAAAAAGGTGTGAGAGAGACAAAGCGATTATGCGTCTTTTATGTAGAAATCTGTTTTCATGTGACAGGCTGCCAGTATCATATTGATCCGAATGGATAGTTTACAAAAGGAATGGACATATAATCGTTGTCTCTTCTCCTAAATAATACAAATAGTGGAGGATTTCTCGGTCCATTCTCTATATCTATGCTTTAGACTGAGTATTCGATCAAAATACACCATGCATTAAGTAGAAACAATTAATACATAACTTATACGTAAAAGCCTTGGTTTCAGATCATTAAAAAATTCTGTTGTCAGATCTTATCTATGATTGGTTGACAGATGCCATTTAACCAATGAGAGCATTGTACAGAATCTGTCAAATTTCTTTACTGATTTAAAGCTTTATCGTTTTGTAATAAAGTCGAAAATCTAATAAAGAAAGACAGATTGGTATAGGTTGATATCTGTACATAAGACTTGCAACAGAATGAAGTTCTCATACAATAATCCCTTGTTTCGAGAAATATCCTCAAAGATACAAAATGCATTATTGCTTTGTGATTAATGTCAAAGAACAAATATAGATTATTGTTAAGGCCAAAAGTATATTTTTACACGCCGCAGTTTAAGTAAATATTTCATTTTTTATTGATCTGAGCTTACATTATGATAGGTAAGGTACTTGAAAATACATTGAATTGCTTACAAAAGGCTATTTTGATTGTACCATGTATCATGATCAGCGGTAACTGTATGGCACTGATTGCTTGTTCACGCAACGTGTTGCTATTGGTTGGAGCAATACGATGCATTGTTATCCTGCTTTCTAATTGGTTCTTAACATGCTGCTACTTCTGGTGTCTTCTTCTTACTGGTGCCCGCAGCCATGGGATCTAAAGATGTAACATTCAAGTATTATTTTGATGTCAGAGAAACGTTTACACTATTTTTAGGATATTAGCACATTTTCGGATATCATTTGAATATAATACGCTAGAAGAAGTAAGCATTACTGGGTTTAATTGGGTACTTGCCAACCAATCAAATTCAATACTTTTTTCGAACTGTCAAAAACGACAGTTTTCTATGAATTTTGTACGAGCTTGTGTAATGTGACGTCACATTTTAGCGTTAAACAGCATAGTTATTTTTTAAAACTTTGCTGAAAAAATACTAAAATGAAGTTGGTCATAAAATCAATTACTAAAAGTGTGATTATTTTATTGTATTGAATATTCGAAATAATTTATTTTTGACTAAAGCAAGTACCCAATCGTAGACTCTATTCTATTACGAACATCGCTCGACAACAAACGTTTTCTATTGTTCATCGTGTTCTATTCGTTTAGCATAATTAATATTCTACAATCTGTATTTTAAAAACTAATTAATTTTACGACAGACATCTCTCGAGCTTCCATTCAACTTAATATACCAAACCAACCACCATTATCCACCACCATCCATCATAATATTACCTCGACGCGGACGGCATGTCAAGTCTACATTACTGACCGTTGCCGTTGGGGTGGAGCCTCTTCAGCACCTGGCTGAGGTCTAGCCCCGTGAGGGTCTTCAAAGCTGGAGGTATACCACCAGCCAGCCGAGCCACTTCACCAGTCGCTCCGTTGTCACCGACCAGGACGATCTCGTCCGTCTTGGCGAGCGGTGCTGATACTTCTGCTGCGATCTATAAAGAAGGAAGTTCTGTTAAATTTTTTATCAAGATTTGACCATGATTTCTATTTTATTGCTTCGTGATAAAGTCAAAAATCGATTAAAATAGCTTTTCACTGATTCATGACCATAATTTTAGGCCTATTCAAGAAGAATCACAGTTAGATTGAAGACGACAATCACACATAGGCATAATAAACATATTACATCTATCTGTATATCAACAAATCAAGTTAAAATTTTATAATTTACCTTAGGCAACGCTTCAAGTACAAGCGCCATGATGGCCGCGTCTCCATACTGCTTGTAGACTTTAGCCTTGGCCAACATGCGCTCCGCATCAGCTTTACCCACGTCACCGATGGCGGTGGCTTCAGCCAAACCGAGCACCTTGATACGCTCGGCGTCGGCTTTAGCACCTTCCACAGTTTGAGTGCTGGATGAAAAAAGGAATATTAAGTTATCATATTTTGAAAGATTTTCTCCTGTGTCGTGAGTGCATTGAACTTTGGCATATGATAATGACAATACTGATTTAATTATTGGCCACATGACTTGTACTGCTGAAGATTGCCCTCCCCTAGTTATTTGACGGTGAACTGTATTGATCATATTGGTAAGAACTCATACGACACCGATTGTCGATATATGTCATCGCATTATCAGATATATAGTATTTTACAATTAAGATATCAGGAAGTACTTTAAGTATGGGAGAGCCATGCTTCGGCACGAATGGGCCGGCTCGACCGGAGTGATACCACGGCCTCACAGAAAACCGACGTGAAGCAACGCTTACGTTGTGTTTCGTCGTGTGAGTGAGGTTACCGGAGGCCCAATTACAATCAATCCCCAAAAGGCCGGTAACGCACTTGTAACGCCTCTGGTGTTCCAGGTATCCATGGGCGACGCGGATTGCTTACCATCAGGTGATCTGTCAGCTCGTTTACCGACTTATACCATAAAAAATGCATCATGGTTAAAATTGATTTAGTTACAAAAGCATCACTTACCGTTTTCCTTCCGCAATAGCCTGTAGACGGAAAGCCTCTGCCTCGGCTGGCAGACGGACCATTGCCTTCAGCTCCTCCTCACGACGCAGGATCTCCTGTTGTTCTACCTGTAATACAAACGGTTATAAGCATTACTTCAATAAGAAATTAGGAAGAGTCAGATACAGTTTATAAAATATATTATTCTGAACTTCAGTAATAATATCAATATGACTAGAATACTGCTAAATTGAAACTTATTTTTTATTTTCTCGTAATAAATTGCAATACTAAGACAAAATGGCGTTAAGTTTAGGAGTGGGAGGTCGTTACGTCATAACGTGCTACAAAATGTGACACGCCGTGACGTCACACGATATTTCAAATTGATATATCGTCGAAAGTATTTAATTTTGTGAGAAAAGAAAAAATACGTGTCTAAAGTTTTAATTTAATCTACCAGACGGACATTAAAATAAAAAATAGGAAACTACCCTATTGTCATTGCAATCTCACCTCAATCTGCTTGCGTCTCTCAACGACTTCGATCTGAATCTCCTCGTTTCGTATCTTTTGTTTTATTTTTGCAGCTTGCAACTCGTACGCCAGCGCCGCCTCCGCTTTCTACAACAGGAAAAAGTCACTTGTCAAATACTCCACATTGGCAGGCAGGCAGGAAGGTTCTTGATGGATTTCCGTTGTAGGAAGTGCTCTTTCATATAAAGGAAGCCTGCTGAACCCACGACATAAATAGGAAAGCTAAGTTATGCACGTTTATGTTTCAGATATTTCATTCCATTTTGACTGAAAGTTATTAATGAGCCGGAAAAATCATAATATTTTGCGGTAATATTATTTCATTACTAAAAATCATGTCATTGACATGGATTTTTGTAATGAAATAATTACACGCAATTTGGATCAGTTCAGTGATTTGCAAAGTTAAATATGAAAAATATTTTCAAATTAATCATTCAACAAAATACCAAACCAACCAACTTACACTTATGAACTCTAACTGGCCAGTTATTCGTAATACTGAATAAATATTTCTCAGTACATAAAAACTGGGTTAAAATTCTTTTTTTTAAGCTTGAATGATGTATGGTGTATGTGTACGTACCGCAGTGTTGACCTCCTGGTCGAACTGGGCCTTCTGCAGCTTGAACAGGCGCGTGTTGTCCTCGATCTTCGTGTCCATCGAGTACTTCACGTCCATCGCACTCTTCTCGCACTCCGCTTCCTAACAAACCACATAGAAGTATAATTAATATAGTATGGTCGACAGCGCATTCACAATTTAAATATTTAACCGTGTCGCCTTTGAGTTCTTGGATTTTATCAAGAATTATACCCGAATTATGACGGTATAAGTATTACTGGGTTTTTAAAAATCCTCAGTAGTAGCACGGAGTCTGGAATTGTGCCCGGTATATGGCAATAGGCTCACCCCCTATTACATGGGACTCATAACAAATAGTGAAAAGTGGGTGTTACATTGAACAGTGGCATAATGTGCACCTCTGCCTACCCCTTCGGGGATAAAAGGCGTGATGTTATGTTATATGTTAATAATAAAACCATACTGACTGAAAATCTCTAGTTCGATCAGGTGGAAGAGCAAACAACTAAACGCTAGCTTTTACCACTAACATATTGTGTTTACGTAAAGCTACTGCTACTAAGTATAAATGGATTTCATGGATTTCATCAAGAATTATACCCGAATTACGACGGTTTTCTTTTACTTATGAACTAAAAATCCTTATCCTTACTAATATTATAAATCTGAAAGTGAGTTTGTTTGTTTGTTCCACCTTCACGCCGTAACTACTCAACCGATTGCTTTGAATTTTTACATACGTAAAGTTAGAAGTCCGGATTAAATAATAGGGTACTTTTTATCCCGGAAAATTTTGGCATTTCCGAGGGAAAACAAAAGAATTGATATAGATGGCGCTGTGTGTATTGGTATATGTGACATAGGCTACTTTTATCCTTTTGTGACGCGAGCGCAGCCGCGGGTAAAAGCTAGTCTGTTATAAATACAGATATTAATCGTAATATAGTTAATAAGTTAGTTCGATCAGGTGGAAGAGCAAACAACTAAACGCTAGCTTTTAGCACTAACATATTGTGTTTGCGTAAAGCTACCGCTACTTTAAACAATCTCCACTAATTGAAACTCGTATGAACGCACCAGATTGCTAGCCGAGGAATTAATTGGTTTGTGTTAGTGACAACTTGTGAACGATAAATAAATGGCTAAAGGCCCTAACACGCCCGGCTTTACGGTCTATTGGGCTTGAACAGCAGTATAATGTACGCGAGCCTAATGACGTGAATAATTCACATTAATCGCAATTTTCATGTTTCGTCATGGTATGGTAATTAGTAGGTTTTACGGAATTCATACAGTATTTATTGTAGAATAATAAAAAAAGAATGCCAATTAGGGCAATTGGTACCTATATTTAAATTCATTTAATAACTCGTGTGTAGGATTTAAAATAAATTATTTATTTTTAGTTTATGATACTATCGGTTGCAAAGAAGCTTACCGGCCGCTTCTAAAGGCGTCACGAGTGCGTTGCCGACAACATGCATTATTTTTAAGACGATTAATATAATAAATTATGTGACTTTTAATAAGTCTACAATAAAAAACATAATCTCACTCTGATGCCGGCATCTCGGTTGGCCTGCGCAACTCCGACGTCTGCGTCGCGCTTGACGACCGCCGTCTGCGCCTTGCCCAAGCTGGCGAGGTACTGGACATCATCGTACACGTCCTTGATGGTGAACGACAGGATCTCGATGCCCATGCGCCCCACGTCCGGTGCTGCCACCTCGCGAACAAGACCCGCGAACTGATCTCTGTCCTTGTACACCTCTTCTACTGTAAGAGTTCCTGTGGGAGAAAGACATGGTTATATGATTGTAAATTACTGTTTTTTGTTGTAGATTTCTTTTGTTTTTTATATCAGGTGTTGGTGTCTGCCGCTAGATGTCGTTACTGCATTAATATAATAACTTATTTTAGTTATCTTATGTCTGGTAGTTCAAGAAATACATATGTGTATGCAATATTTTTATAGAGATTGTAATATAATGGAGTTCCATAGGTATTATTTACAGATACATACGTACACATATCGGTATAAATTTGTACGCGACTTGATCATATTTCATGAATATGCAATGGTATGAGTCACTGTTACTGAAGTTAAAATAATAGGAAAAATAATGCAATTTTCATCTTTATGTTATTTACCTACTACTAGAGTCTAGACTATAGGTCTTACTACTAAATTAATATTATTTGACACAGGGACACATAATTTATTATTATGTCATAATTATTCAAAATAAAGTACAAAACAAAATATGATATATTAGAGATGAGATATTCTTAGCATTTTAGGTACCTAACCTTTAAGTTAGTCATGAAAATATAGCTGAAAAATGTCTACAAAAACACACAACAACTCACTTTTTCACGTTTAGATATGTAAGGCCGATTGTCAATGCGATCGGAAACAATCCAATTCGTAGCATTTCCATAATAACAGTTAATAATACACACTTTTTCGAACTTTGACTAATAATACACACTCACACTAATGCACATCACTATTATTATAATAATTGCACATGGAAGACTAATACTGATATACTTTTGTTAATTTTTTTCTAATAATTATTATTGTCTTCTATACTTAAACCTGAATTTTAAATTCGGAAAAGTTTTATTATGATTAGAAACGAAGAGCTTTTTAATTGATTTTATGGCTTTGATTTAATCTTCCAATTTTTAGGTTATTTTTATTTCATCAATACTTTTTACCGGTAACAGAAAAAAGTACTGAAATTATATTTTTTCAGCAAATATTTCAACGATAGTAATTTATAAATATTTGTCCCACGTGTTTTCGCCCAGACGTCGCTGCGGACGTAGATGCGAAAAAATACTGGTGTCTTACCGACCCTACATCTTGCACGTTAGATTTTAAATTAACTAAACAGTTACAAATCTTATACCCGTTGCAATAAAGTTCGAAATAGCATACACGGACGATTTATCGTTATTTACGTTGCGAATGATAATAATATAAATATGATAATGATAAGGATTCCTGTAGATATGTCAGTTGTTGCGTAAACGGTTACGTGAAACTACAATACAGAGCTAAGTAATAGAGGCCAACAACATCGAAAATCGAAAAAAAAACACTTGGCCAATTACATTGCAGGATTTACATTTATTATTTTAAGACTTTGCAAGTTTTACAAATATAATTTTGATTTGAATTAAAGTATATTTGATCAGATTATATTAGATTATTTATTATTTTGAAAATGCGAAGCTCAATAGATCACAGTGATTATTATGTTTAATTAAATAAATTATTATGTTTTCGGCTTACTCACGTAATAATTTGACGAGGAACTCGACTAGTTTCAAGCCATGCTAGAGGCTCATATTCATGAGCAGCATATCGCGACCCGCGACGCGGCGACTGTCGCGCTGCTACAGAGCTACAGAGTAGCATAGCATAGCTACAGTTTATTTAGTTTCACGAAAGTTACAATACAAATATGTTTAATTGGGTGAAAATTTCGAATTGTAATTATTTTTGGTCGACATTGTCTCTTGTCAGAAACAAGTATTGTGTTTTGATATTTCTATTGATTTTTTGATACATAATAAAGTATATTATGATCACATCATTTTGGAAATGCGAAGCTCAGTAGATCACACTGGTTATTTTGTTTGAGTTGCTAAAAATCGAATTGTAATCATCTAATCATTTTTGGTCGACATTGTATCTTAGTCAAAAACAAGTGTCGTGTTTTGATCTTAATCATTCTATTGACTTTAATAATACTTAGAATTGGGTAAAATAAATCACAATAATTATGAAAATGGACCTTAAAAATCTACCTGATAATTATCTGTTTATTTCAAACTAGACGATGGGATCAATATCGTCACAATAATGTGTACAAAAATCCCAATAAATGAGTTCACAAAATTCCTAATTACCAATCACAACAAAAAATATACTGCAGTAAAAACATAACCCAGTAAAAACATTACCCAGTAGGCAATGTCGTAAGCATAGCGAGTACAATTTTCTTATCATATACTGCAGTGTGATACGGCATTTTTATCGTTCCGCATAAAACCGTATCAAATATGTAGCGATAATGTTCAGTAATCCCCGAAAATGTCTCATGAAAGATGTAATAAAGAATTAATGGCGGATAGGCAGACCCGGGGGACAAGCTTTGTCGACAAGGGACTCATTTAATTAGTGAACATGTAAGAATATAAGTTATAACTTGATCTCTTAAGTATAGGTAACTTCCTAAATAGATAATTACTAAGTTTTATATTATACCATGCTTGTTTCCTAGAAAGAGTAGGCGTAAATAGAACCAGTAGGCCTGATGCCCGATACGGAGCCGCTGAAAAACTAACGGATTGCCGGGGTTCCAGCTCGAAGAGCAGGAATAGGAACGGGGTGGTTATTAGTCAGTAAGATTAAAAACCACTTGACACTGCCTCTCGTCAAACCCAAGGCGGGAGAATCCATTGTATGATTTCCCCCCTCAAAAAAAGGCGTAAATAGGATTACTTATTACTTATATTGACTTTTCGCCCGTTCCCGTCGTGATGGCTAAGCACTTAAGCCAGTTTTAGCATTAAATTATAGCATGACTGGGTCAGGATCTGGCATTGTCATTTGTATGCTCGTTGCATCCAATCCAATATTATATAACTAAAATTAAACTTTATCATATTAAAATACGTATCATATTTCAAAAAGACAATGCTCCCAAGACATTAGCAAATGGCATATATGATAGAAGATTTCTATCATATATTATATATATACATTTCATATAATGTGATAATCGATCATAGCTACCCAAAGACATTTTCAATATTCAAAGACTTCCTTCGCAAATGCAATTCGATTCCAGAGACAAAGCTGCAATATGTAGTGCTTGAATGTTTCATATTATTGAATTAGGGGAAGACAGAGACTATGCGACATCTATCTAGATTCACTTCACTCTCACATATGCATGTTATGTTTGTATATGTATATGTTACGGTAAATCTGATTAATTGAAAATTATTAATATTTTTACAAAATTATTAATAATAACCACATGTTTTGGTAAATGTGAATAAACGCTCGAAATTTATTACTTTTAGTAGTAATTATTAATAATTCACGACACATATTGGTAAAAGTTATAAAATAAATAAAAACCCAATGTTTTTTGACCAGCAGGTATTTATTTATAATATTAAACACAGTCTTGCAATTATATTAATTAGAGATCACACAAACAAGGTTACTTGTACTTGCAAACTAAGCAAACAACAAAGCAAGAAAGTCTTTCGTGATACCTACATAAAATTGTAACAAAAATAAAATTAAACAATTATTATTTCATTAACAAAATCAACACGAATCCTAAAAGTAATCATTAACAATCATATTTGGTTTGCCTGTAAATTTTCTGTAGCACTTATAATTGCAACAATTTAATTTTTAAAAGTATTATCATAGAATTCAACAGATATTTGTTGTGCAAGTAAAATACATATATTGCTATTTAAATTGCAATAAAAATAACATCAAAATAAAACAATTAAAGACTCATAAAAAAAGAAACCAAAAACATTATTTATTTTTGCAAGAAAGACTTTTATTGCAAAGAACGTGCATTTTTTTGCATTTGCAGCGATTAGAGTTGCATTCGCCAGTACAGTTACAGTGTTGAAAGCCTTGCCCCCCCCAAATTTGAGTCCTTGCGGGCACATACTCGCCCCGCAACCCTTGGCCACTTATTACATTTATCACTACTAGGGTTAAATTATTAATAAAAACCGACAAATGTGATTAATTTATCACTTTAACCTCGACTTTCGGTAATTATTAATAATAATAGATAATTATTAATAATCTTCAATTATTCACTCTTACCGTAACATATACAAAGATGTCATAATGATTGTACAGCAACAAATTCAATATACTAATGAAAAGAAAGGAAAAAGATGATTCTGTGAGCATTTTATTAAAGTAATGTGTAAATAAAATAAATACAGTACGCAGTTGCACAGTACCCCGGGTAACCGGGGCTCCGGCTCGACGTGCAGGAGAAGGAACGGGGTGGTTTATAGTCAGTAAGAGTCTGACACTCCCTACCGCCTCACCCAGGCGGGAGCAGTCATTCGATGATTTTCCCCCCTTAAAAAAAAAAACCCCTTTTAACCGACTCCTAAAACTCAAGTCATTTCTGTTGTTAGTCTTGAAAACGCAAAGTTTTACTATCTCATTCTATCCCGATAGTTAGAAAGAGATATGTTGTGTCCCACCTTAGAGGCGAGATTAAAAAAGTTTAGATTATCTGCTTTTCTCTTTACGTGTGTTGGTATAAGTTTGAAAATACTTTAAACAGATAAATATCTACATGCTTATTGAAGAACATGGCTACTGTACTAACAATTATTTTATCTAAAAGGCTGTGCGACATCGCCGCGACCGCGCACGCTGCTTATGAGGAAGAGTCCCTCTTTGACTCGAAACTAGTAGAGCTTTTCACAGTATATTTTACGTGAGTAACTCGTCACTTTTTAGTTAATTCAGTATGTCTCACAATAGTTATTATAAAAACATAATGCTGAGGCACCTGCCTGTATTTATTATAATAATATGTATACGCTTTAGTTTGGTCTGTGTCACTAATTTACTAAAGTTTGTACGGAGATGCGAGATGCGACTAACAGAACTCGCGAAAACACAAGGTCTCTTTTATCCATCAGTCGGGTCTTACGACTCTCGACAAGGATAGGGGTGGTAGCGAATATATGTATGATAAATATTC